ATTAGCATACATAATCTTCAGAATACTTAAGTAAGAAGCTTCGAATACAACAATCTCTTAATATAAAATTTAAATATTGAGTGCTGTTTTATAGACTACTTATTAAATTATTTTAGGGCTTTGCGTGCATCTCTTCAGGAATTGAAAATATATATCTTATTATTTAAACTATGTACTTCTTTAGGATTTTTATGCTAGTAATATAATTCACTGAATAATAACATGTAGTACACACACCTGTTGCAGTAGAGTTTCATAGGCGTATCTGTCAGTGATGGTCATGACGAGCAGTCGTCCCTCGAGCGCGTCCAGTCGCTTGCCCAGCACCACTATACGCACGTCGAACGGAACTAGCAACATCTCTCTGGAATACACGAGAAACAAGACAATATAGATATTAACCATATCCCGCTGAGAGTCAATGCCGACCTCGAAAACAACAACAAAAAGTGATATAACTATTGTTTTTTATCAGACATTTTTGTCCCAATTGTCCTGTACTATTGTATCAGTATTCTTAAATATTGCAATAAGTTTTACAATTAACTGTTGAAGAATAACCATATGAACATTCTTATTAAAATTGATCTACATATATTTGCAAAAAGTCTGACAGCGAAAACAAAGACACATTGGTTCTTATTACTGTTGGATTAGCAAGTAAGAGTTCGAGTGTAAATTAAAAATATTTTTCTGAGAAAAAAATCAATATTTTGTAATTACCTGTACAATTCTGTGGCCAGTTTGGTAGCGTCGCTGACATTTTGACAGTTCATCATCCAGAATCTGCAATGGAATTTGTAAGTGTTTAATATTTTTTCTTTATTTATACATTTGGAACACCAACAGCTATACAATTTGATTGAATAGAATGTGGTATGCAACAAAAAAACAATTACTGGTACTAGTATCACTATTATTTTTTACATTTTATTTTATTTCGATTTATATTTTTCGTTTTATTTTGTGTAAAGTTTCAGAAGCCGAACTCATTAAATAGCGTTATAATTTTCGGAAAGGGATTCCCGTAAACAAAGGTGTAAATTAATAGTTTACCACATCGTTCACAACGGTTATATGATATTATACTATGGTATTATGGAATCTCCTTACCATCAGGTAACCCACAAGCTTAGTTTTTTTGTGGGATAAGCCAGCCGGGAGATAGATCACTTGATGGTAAGCAATCAACGCCACATCCACCCGAGACACAAGAGCCCTTACAAGTGCGTGTGTGCCTTTTAGGGCTCCGGTAACCTCACTTGCACTACGAAACACACTTTTGCTACAGATTGTAGCATATATAAAATGTTCTTAATCACCTCGCCGAGACCGTGGTGGTGAAGGAGGCGCAGTCGTCGGTGACGGTGAGCGGGGTGGAGCCGGTGACGTCCTCCCAGACGGCGCGCGCCTGCCCGCCCATTATGGAGCATAGCAAGCGCAGGTTGGACGTCGATGGTTTCTCTGTGCTGTCCTGCAAAGTTAAAATAAAACATATTAAAGGGTTTGTTACGTATTTTTGGTGTTGTGTATTGTATTCCAAATGTGTTTTTTGTAGAATTGGAAGTTTATTACACCAAAATTAGTTTATGACATTGTAGATAATATTGCGATTGCTTAGTAAGTTTTAAGTGATTGACTAACAAGGCACAACCGGTATATTGGTGCGCAGAAACTTATCGTAGGTATTATTTTGTTCATCATAAATGTATTTTGATAAGATATATTATAGATTTTTATTTATCATAAAAAATATTATGTTGTTGGTAGATTATCCTTTTAATATTATCAAATTCCTGATTTTTTTATGCAAACAGAGAAATCGGATATTTCATTAAATGAAGTTGCAACAAAATACTTTTTGTAGTAAATAATCAAAAACAGCTTACAGGTAAAGCCGGCAACGGTGCAGTGAGCGTAATGGAGCGATGGAACTTGCGTCGCCGTGGTTCCACCGTCAAGACGGGCGACACGGCGGCGTGCCGCGGCAGCACGCGGCGGCACTGCGCGGCGCTGGCCGCCTGCGCCTGCAGACCCACGCGGATGCGCTTTGTCAGCGCCGCTGCAGGGAACTGGGCTTGGACCTGGAAGACGAATCAGGATTAAACTTAATGTTTGTGATGTGGGTTCAGACTGGACATGAAATCTCTAGTTAAATACGTGCAATAGATTCTCTTTTTCATAGCAAAGAAGCAGCTACTTATATATCTACGATCTCGTAAACGGCTCTAACCATTTTCTTGACATTTTGTACCTCGGAGGTTTTGAGGGCGATGAATCGATCTAGCTAGCTAAAAAATAAACACCGAGATAACTCGGTCATTCAGCTACTCTATCTTAAACTATACAATTTTATAAAATTTTCAACCTTATCATTTGGTAGCAAAATTTTTCTTTGCTAGTAGAATTTTGTTTTAGTTACGGAAAATCTCTTCTTCAACAGATTTGCAACCCTAAATCAAAGCCAATAAAGTTCAAAATTGAAAAATGGTACCTGTGGTATATGTGCACTGGAGATGGTGCCTCCCTCGGGCCCGATGACATGGACCTCCTGCCTCACTCGCGACACACAGGCGAGGTAGTGAGGGAAGTCGCACGTAATGATCCGAGTCACTCGCTCCCCACTCTCTCCTATGGTCTCGTTGCCACCGTACTCTTGGCGCTCGCGTTGTAATGCTTCCTGGAAATGAGAAATGAATATTTAGATTTTTGGACAGTAGTTTAATAGGTGGAAGTTATAATTTGAATTTAAATCTTGTAAGTTCAATCTGAAACTATATAACTATATAAATATTCTATGTATATACAATATACTATACATTTTAAGAATACCCACTTACATTTTGCACTTACCCACTAATATATTATATACCTTAAGTACTTACCTATATTCCGAACAAATAAATATGTAAAAAAATGTTAACCAAAATGTAATTTATAGTAAGCTGGTGACACCCCTAAAATTTGCAACGCCTGAAAAAGGCCGTTAAGCTGTGCCTGTTATTTCATAAGACCTGTATGTATTACCTTAACATGCAAATAAAGAGTTTGAGTTTGAGTTTGAAAAAAACCGGTTTTTAATGAAATGAAGCGAATTATTAAATTATAAAAATTATTAGTATACGCATACTAACCTGTATCAGTGGGTTGTCATTGTTGTGTAGGTAGTGGTCCTGCCAGGTCTCGCCGGTGTCCGAGCGCAGTACAACAATCTCACGCTCGCGGCATGAAGATGTGTATATTGGCACCTCGATCACCACTGGACTGTTAGGGAAAACAAAAATTAGGTACGTCATCATTTTTATATTACCCGCAAGGAGCCAACTCCTGAACATAGGCCGCCCACTGTGATTTCCAAATCGGTTGGTTGCAAACGACTAGCATCCAGCAGCTGTAGCCAAATGACATTTAGCGCTTGTCTACTTGTAGAATAGAAAACTAAATTATACAAGTAGACAAGCGCTAAATGGCATTTCGCTACAGCTGATGGTTACTCAAAAGGTTCAGGGTCATTAATGCACCGTCATCTAGTGTTGTAAATGTATGTATGGCCAATGCTAAGAGCGATAAGCTTCTTTGCCACCACAGAGGTAAAAAGAACATGGAATCACCATTTAAGGCAGGCTTAATGAAAGGATTCATGACGAAGATGTTGAACTAAAACGTGACAAAGACAACTAGTACAATAGTTTCCAATTTCAATATCAAAAAGTACTCACGCCAAGAACTTAGCGCCCTGTGGTTGTAGCTCAAGTAACCTTGAAGCTAGGGCTTCTCCCTCCATGAGTGGCGGTGGGGCAGCGGCCGGCGCTCGTCGTGTGGCAGCCCTGCAGGTGACGCGGGTGGGCGCCGCGCAGGCGGCTGGAGGGACTATGATGCGCACTCCACCACGCCGCTTGGCTTTCATCGCACCTCCTCGCGCGTCCACCACGAATGATACCAGAAAACTGGAGGTGAAGAAAAATGTGTTGAATAGATGTATTTAATCTCAAAGATTAAATTATGGAAGTGGGAAAGAATCATAGATTTCATTAAAGGTGTCTAATTATTTTATTTTATTTCTAAGGATGAAATACTAACCACCTTATTTAGCGTCCTGGACATAGATAGAAATGAGTTAAACTGTTATAAAACCTAATTAATTAATCGTTTCTTGTAATGTACTTGAATTTTTTTAATGTAGTTGACTTGTATCAAAATTAATGTACATTCCATAACATCATAACATAACATCACAAGTTTTTATTCCCAAAGGAGTAGGCACATTACGGCACTCAATGCCACTGCACTGTGTAACATCTACTTTTTACTATTTATGTTATGAGTCCCATGTAATAGGGGGTGAGCCTATTGCCATATACCGGAAACTATTCCAGACTCCGTGCTACTACTGAGATTTTTTTAAAAACCCTTTAAAAAAATAAAACTTTTCCCGGCCCGGGAATCGAACCCGAGACCCCTTGCCCAGTAGTCGCACTTGCAACCACTCGGCCAACGATGCAGTCATGTCAGGAACATTCCATATAAGAAAACGGCGATATTTTGGGAAATTGAACCTTCACTGAACAAAAATAATGTGTGATAGGTTACCCCACACACTGAAAGAAAAAGTCTTTGTACTAGAAGTTAATTCAATTGATATAAAGTTACCCAATGTCCAGTGGCTGCCGGTCGATGGTGGCGACTTTTCTATCATTGTTGCTGGGCCATAGATGTCCATCGGTGACCGTGTCCTCGAGCGGCTTGGCTCGGTGCAACGTACCCGCCTCGCTGTTCATGTAACGGTATTGTTGCTGCTGTTGGATTGGGCACTCTACCTCGCCTGGAAAGAATAAAGATAGATTATAGTGTATGATTGTCAAAACGAGTGAAGGATTTGTATTTGTTTCAGTACTTTAAATCTTGTAAAAACTAATTCCTTAATTCATAGCATGCTTTCAAGTTATTTACCTGAATACAATGCAATAAAGTAAATTGCTTACATGAGACAGGTAACAAGATCTTGTACCTACTCGTATTTCTCACAATTTCAAATCCATATAATACATTATACTTGAACCTATTTTAAGTTAAAACTATATTTTCCAAAGAATCAACATCGACCGAGTAAAGAACACATATTTTATTAACGAATAATAAATACTAAAATAATGTAACACCAATTTATTTTGTATAAATCATCAAAAAAATATTTCATACAGCGAGATGAATTCGGAAACTATTGGAAATGAGGTCAGATGTGTAAGATATAGTTAGTTGACCTCTTTTCTGAACGTTTGACAGACGTAAATCGTGCCCTTGGGTCTGGTATTAAACTTAGCAAGTGATTTCTATCGTCAGACCAGTGATAAACAATATTGGATAGTGCTGATATTATTTATAAAGTTTATTTGGAGCTTGACTGTTGCTTGTCTTGTCTAGTTAAAAGTTGAATTTGTGACTGTCTTGGTGAAAGTGGCTGAAACTGTAATGTGGTCGAGGATTTGAAATATAGAACGTTTTTCAAGATTCTTTGTTTTTTAACCTTGACAATAGGGTAGTAGTATCCTTAATTTGATTTTAATACCCGTCTGGTAGATTATTTTAAAACACTAGCGACGATTTTTTCTTTTAAATTAAATTAAATACTTTCGACGATATATTTCTTCGATTGATTTCAAATATCGTGTGACGTCACGATTTACTATATTTTAAAGGGTAACGTGACATAACGACCTCCCACTCCGAAACTTAACTCCGTTTTATCTAAGTAATTGTTTTCCTATACGACAAAATAAAAAAATAGACATACATTTTTTTATTATCTAACTGACGGTCTAATCTATACTATATATTAGATATATTATAAAGCTGAAGAGTTTGTTTTTTGTTGTTTGTTTGAACGCGCTAATCTCCGAAACTACTGATTCGAATTGAATAATTCACGGCTATAAAACATCTCACTACGACGAATAGGAGCCGAGCAGAGCGGATGAAACCGCGCGCAAGTTGCTAGTTACATTTATAATCTTTATACACTGTCTAATACTATAATATACGAAATAGGATAATAACAGAGTTTACACCTTTGTGTTAAGTGTGATTTCTTTTAGAATTCGAAAGAATATAAATCTGTCCAAAAATCAGTGGGTACGCTCCATAATATAAAATTTTTGAAAATACAGTGAATAAAATTATGTCAGTATTTTGAAGTGTAAAAAACTTGCAAAAAATGATTTTTACTAACCACGGGCTACCTGCAGATAAGAAAGAAATAACTAATAAAATAACAACTGAATTTTTCAGAAATGTTGTAAATAACATTCCATGAAATAGTTTTGGAGTTATCTAAACACAAGATGTGTTTAGATAACTCCAAGTTTTGAAAACTTGGAGTTATCTAAACACATCTTGTGTTTAGATAACTCCAAGTCATGAGTAGTTTTATTTCATTGCATCAAGTGGGTAGGCAGATACCGACATTTTTACTCTAACATAAGCACTTTAAACTGCGCGTGGGCAATTGCACGCGCAAGATCACGCACTTTTGTCTTTACTGGAGAATTGAAGTCAATACTGTAAACAGTCATAATATAATACTTTTTCAATTTGATAGTTTGACTCACATTTTACATTACCTCTATATGAAATTCGTTGATTTCATTTCTATTAAAAAAAAGGGTTGTTGTACTTTCTTATTGGTATAATATAAGACATTTTTCATAGCTAGGATCTCTGAAAATATGGTTAGTGTATGGCAATAGATTTTCTTTTTGTGAATAAGAGTCCCGTTATGACTCGAAACTAGTAGAGCTTCTCGCAATCATACACGTGAATAAATGTTATTTTAATTAATTTGGCAATAGGATTGTGATGTTTTCCACATATTTTTTCTCTGAACATGCATCCAACTACTGAGTTTTTAGCATTCCATCTGCTAACTAATCCACCACGGATTAGTTACTTATATAGCATATATATTAAAATTAAATTATATATAATATTGGCAGATAAACTCACCTCCTTCGTCCTCCGAGTCGCTCATGAATGTGTCCTGCATTAGTTCTGGTGCCGCTACTCTGTATTTGCCTTCCAAGCCACCTGAAACAAACAAATCCGATATTTAGTACAATTGTTTTAAAGTATTTATTACCTTAATCTTAAATTAAAACTACGATGTCATGTTTGTGAACGTGATTCGTGTACACTTGGTCGAAGTGTCAAGTAAAATACAAGATTACGATAATTTCCCGCTAATTTTCGTGTAAGTGTTAACAAATCCAAGGATTTAAATAACATCTTCATCATAAGATTTTTATACGCTTAATGCTGATACTCAGAACGCGCTATACATTGCAAGAATTCAAATATACATTCTATTTCATAGTTCTTTTACTAGTTTACGGCTTCGGGACGGGAAAAAGATGCCATAGACTACTTCAATTAGTTGCACAAACAGGGTAATTTATCAATAAAGATCTGCATCCTAAATTGCTTTCAAATTGCTACACAAAGTACCGTTTTCAAAAGTCAATTTTGCTCCTACATTGGGTTCGTTTGGAACACAATGGTGCTATAAATAGTGACAGGATGCATACAAGTATTCAAGTATTGTCAACGGTTTCATCCAGCTGATTTTTATATGTACAAGTTGATTACAACGCCATCTTTGGATTGTTTTATGAGGTAATAAGAAAATAACGGAATTATAGAAGTTGGTCAAAGTAGTCAAGTAGTTAGGTTGGGTAAAGGTAGAAAATATGACTTCAATTAATGGGCTTTTTTTAAGCGGGGTATATCATCGAATGACTTCTCCCGCCTGGGTGAGGCGGGAGGGAGTGCCAGACTCTTACTGACTAAAAACCACCCGATTTCTATTCATGCACTTCGAGCCGGAGCCCGTTAGGTTCTCCGCGGCTTCAATTAATGGACTAGGTACATAAATAAATAAAATTAATCAATTATGCAAAATGCACGGTTGGCGCAGTAACTGGACGACAGGCTGCTGAGCTACGTTTCAAGGGTTCAGTTCCCACACAGAATACTACTTTCGTTACAGACTAATTGTTGATTTGGATGAACTAGTTAAGACATGCACCATTTGTGTTTTTTCACACGGCAAAACTTAACCTCCTTTTTTACCAACCTCTACTAAATTTAAAAGAACTCCTAAGCTAAGATATACGATAGCTACCTATAAGTGACACCTAACAGCGCTAGTACGGAGTTTGTTTAAATGCTACGTCACGTTAAGTAACTTTTATCTAAGTGAGACTTTAGGGATGGTTTGAGAAAACGATTATAAGTATGTTACAAAAAAAGAGTCTTGAATTACAGCCTATTAGGCCCACAGAAAAGATTCTAGAGGTAGGTACGCTAAATTGTGACTAATGTTTCGTTTATATGATTGTATGTAGGTGTGTGTGGCGGACACATGGCTAAAATATGTGAATTGTGTAATCCAAATATGAGTTGAACTCAATTGTGCATAAGGTCGTCGTCTAGTCACTAACAGATCTGTTCATGACATGGATTGTAACTGTTTTCATGTTACGTTGAATATATTGCAGTTTTATTGCTTTTGTAGTGGATACGTCGCGTTTAATTATTATTGTAATATATGATATACTTAAAGAAAATCGGATCTCTATATGTTTTTGTTTATTTACCTAAATCAAATTATAATTTTACAAATGTGTAGCCTTAAATCTAAACAAAGTTGTAAGTAATTAGTGTTTTGCCAAGTTTGAAATTAGGGAACGGGTTAGTATACTATTTTAAATGCTAGTAGTTGTTTAGTAAATAGAAATGTTGTATCTGTCATGTTAGCTGGTCAGAAATTAATGAAATATTAGATAGGTATTCAAATAGCTTTTGGACACAATACTGCCAACTTTTTGTTGCTTAAAATGACTGCTCCCGCCAGGGTGAGGCGGGAGGGAGTGTCAGACTCTTACTAACTAAAAACCACCCCGTTCCTTCTCCTGCACGTCGAGCCGGAGCCCCGGTAACTCGTTAGGTTCTCCGCGACATGAAATAAGGTATAGCCTGTAAAATTCTTGATACAGTTTCTAAAAAAAATAAACAAAACTAAACTTTTCCTATAGCTCTGGGAATTAGCGTCAACATCAAACGCTACCTACGCATCAATTTGTGTAAGAAGTCTTCATTGAGAGCGCAAAGTATCACTTACGCTGCAAAAGAAAATATTCACACGGAGGTACTTGACTCATTTCTTACAAAGTACGTTGTACAATCGATACACATTTTTACTACTAGTCATTGCACTTCTACTTGGCAATGTACTAATGTTAATCAAGGTTCAAATTTATGATTGCTTTGACAAAAATTGCAATTAAGGACTTTATTGCTTAGCCTTCTTCGTTGGAATCTACACTTTGCAGAATGTAAAAATTTGGGCATCATCGTCATCATCAACAGCCTATGAAACAATCCACAGCTGGACTAAGAGCCTCCTGTACATAATAGGAGATCGAATTATTATTTCCTTGATAGACAGTGTCAAGACTATATGTCAGAAAAATGTTGCTACATTCCCCAAAAGGGTAAACTAAAGGTGCTTACTTTACAACAGAAAACATAGCTAATATTAAAACAAATATAATGCACGTGTATCTACAGATACAGGGCAAAGAACTTTCCAAAGAAAGTGCCCGCTGCCGGTGTAAGGAAGCGCATTAGAATAGATGTATGGTTTCGGCGCAGGAGTCGATTGGCGCTCGCTTGCATACCTAATTGATAGAAACGACAATTTGTCTATCAAATTGGTTCGGAGCTGGTGTTGTATTTTGTTTTTATATTGGTTGTAATTGTAAATATATTGAGTATATAGGAGATTTTTAACACTTTAATTTTATTTTAAATCCATCTAAAGATCCATGGCAATCATTGGAAAATGACTTTTAAAGTTTTGAATTCATTCATTCATTTTGATAAAATCACAGTAAGTGCAGTACATTCACATATAACTTTTTCTTCTGGCAAGTAGGTATGGTATGGCCAATTTTCTTGTACGTTTATCTAGATCTAGATAAACTTACTAAGAATGTAGCTTTTAATTCTTTGTCTCCAAAGTGCAAACAAATATCAACCTTATAACAAAAAATATTTTACTAATATACAATTTATATGTACAGCGACACATCTTTTGTAGTCAGTTATATCGACAATTGAATGCCCGTTAATGCATGGTTTTGCATTTTATCATATTTTAAGTTTACAGTTAAGGTCGGTGACAGTTGTTTGGTTCTTTCTGACCTTTCGTTTGACCTATAGGGCGAAAGGGTGGAACTAATTTTGGCCGTTTCTTGGCCCTTTGTTGGTGTTATGGTTTAGTAGTCGGATGTATTGTTGTGGTCTTTTCGTGCTCAGTACCTTTTAGATCAGGGTCAGGGGTAGGTACTTATTAGTTAGATAGCATGCCTTTGTCTTTATCATCCGTACAGTGAAGAAGGAGGGAGACTTTGAGAGTCGTAGTAGTCGAGTTTGACTGCAGATCTGGAGTACATTTAGTATTCAAATTGCCCACTACAAATGCATGTTCTTAAGTGCAAAAGGTGATCGTGCTAATGCATCACATACATTACGCATTATATTTATGACTTTTATTTACATACGAAGTTATTGGTGATGGGCACATAGTCCTTCATTTTTCAGTTACTATAAATGCCAATAATATTAATATGTATAATAGGCGTTTGCACCTATGACAGATTATCTTCGCATATGACACATTAGGACATAATTTCTAAAAACTTAAAAGCTCAATAAACTAGGATTAGATTCGAAACTTTGGCCACTCAACCAAACACGTCATTACATAACAGCACAAAACTATAGTGATTTATGTTAAACTATAATTTACTCGGTCGTAAAACGTGTTGACCTGATTCCAAGTCCTACGGTCGATTTTTATGTCCGTAACAACTTTTCTAAGTGAAGAAAATCGATTGTTGCAATCTTTTCACTAAAACTGGACTAATGGAAAATATATAAAATCGAAATACAAATCAAATCAAATCAAATCAAATCAATTTATTTGTGCAGGATTAGCTTTTACCCACGACGTAAGTACGTCGATAAAGAGGTGGATATTTTGGGAAATTAACTCTTAACTCGTCGAGTACCGGTTTTGTAGACACAATTATAGAACAATAGGTTGCGGTCACCGGTGACCGCTTGGTGTTTGACAGTTTAATGCTCCTAATGAAATTATTTACAGTCAACTTTACTAATATTATGTATATTTATAAAAAGTTGTGTTTGAGTGATTACTGTTATTTTACAGATTTGTATGGTGGAATGATTAATTAGAAAACATATATCATTTTAAATATATTATAACGCCACAACACAGGTACGGAATGATATGTTGCTAGTTGCTATTTTATTTATTTAAAAAGCTGTGCGCTGTTTAAGACAATAGGCACACCCTCTACGTAAATAACATTATATTATAAATATACATGACATTAATAACTAAAAAAATGTACACAAGTTATGTTAACCTTCACATACTCCTTTTGGGAATAAGTAAAATTAAATCTTATCATAGATATAGGTAATAATATCTCTTCATAAATACGAGTACCTTTCCATTTAATTAATATGGTGGGCGAAAACCTGATTCTTTTGAAGACAAATATGTAGAGGCAATGTAATTTTTGAATTAGATAAATTAACTACCTTGTCTACCTATTACAAGGATACCTATAAGATTTGATATTCCTGGATCGGGCAAAGAATTATTGAAAATAAGACCCAGAGTCATGTAGTCTATAATAGTACCAGGCTCCTTAAACTCCCTATTGCATGGGACTCATCATTACATGGGTATTATCTATATATATAAAAATGGGTATTTTTAATATGTGTACAGGCAGAAGCCTGCCTTCAAAGAAAAACCAGCTTAACCATATGGTAGAAAAACAACCTTGAAATGCATTACAGTTCTTACAATCGCATGTAGGATGACGCGATAAAGTATCGTGTCGCATGCACTAATTAGATTTATTCTTATGTTTGTATTATACCTGATGTACTTACATATATAACATACATACATGCACATATATAATGTA